GAACTAGCCTGTGTGGAATTTTGACAAGAAAAGAGAATTATTTAAAGCTCTGGATACGATTGTGGTAACCAATAATATAAAGAATTCTTGTGCATACATTTCACTTGTTTTGAATATATATTTTAAAACAAATAGGTTGTGAACTGTCCGTTTATTGTTCGAATTTATCGCCAAAAAGTCACAGACACCTACTGTAAAAGGCCTCTGTTCATATAAAGCTTGACAAAAACGAGTTAGAAAAAGACTAGGAGAGGATAGGTTGAGAATTGAAAGTAAAGTTCGGGAAATTAGAATGAAAAATCAAATGGCGAAATTTGTAAAAATGTGAAATGTATTTAACGAAAAGACAGAAAATAAGACATTTTTGAGGCATTGGCGATATATTGGAATGACACGAGTAAAATGGAAGAGAGAAGTAGTAAAAAAATGGAGACAAAACGAAATATGGTTTACAGAACAATTAGAGAAAGATAAAAAAGATCTAGAGAGAGGAAGAAAAATTGAAAGGAGAATTGTTATAAATGGAGGGAAACATTCTCAAGATGAGAATGTAGTTTTTGCTACACTTCAAACAAACAAAAAACGGTGAAGAAAATGAAAGATACAAATAAAACTAGATGGAATCCAGTAGGACATAAAAATGAAAGATTGACACAGAGAAAAGTTAATAGGAAGGAGAACATGTGGCATGAAGAAAGACAGAGATTTTATGAAAAATCCATTACTTGAAGAAAAAAAATGATAGTTAAAAATATCTTTCTATAACCAGGTTTAGTTGTAGTTAAACTCAAAGATACATAAAGTGCTACCTATGCTCTGCCTACCACAGGTATCGAAACCCGGTTTTTAGTATCGCAAGCCTGTAACTTGATAATAAGACTCAGTAAGTAACTTTTGAATATTATTAATTTAACATAAAATATTTGGAAGTAAAAGAAATCTGATTAGTAACAAAATGATTAACGTTTACTCACATAAATAAGCCCAATAAAATACAACTGACAGATGATATGTATGAATTTACTAGGAAATTAAGATTTTAAAGAATATTTTTTCCAGTGTTTCTAATAAATGTGAATCCATAGTAAAAGGAAAATCAGGTTTAGATACAATAAAAGAAATAAGTCTTGAACTACAGGTAATTGGTCAAGAAAGTAATTAAGTATTATTGAAAACAAAACATGAATGTATCCATATTTGAAAACCTCCTCATATTTCGGATGTCAGGTTTTTACGTATGTGTGGGTAGGATTCTTTACAGTAGGTGTGTGTGTGACTTGTTGGTAATAAATTTATATATTTCTAAGTGTTGTTATTGTGAATAAATTATGTTTTTGTTGTTGAACCATGACTGTAGCGGCGTGTTCAATTTAGACCATTACATTCTACTCTGTTATTACAATACTATCTGCGATTATTACACTTTAAAAGTCGCTACTATACATTCTTTGTAGCTAAGCTTACAAACACAGTCTAGATGTATCTCGCTAACTTTGTCTTACTTTTATTAACTTACTTTAACGCTCGCACTATATACGCTAAATAATACTCTCGAATTAAATTTAAAATGTACAGTGGTGTATATCTGACATCGGGAAAACTGATTGTAGGAGGTAATCGAAAAATTACAGAACATTTAAGTGACTTTTTGGACCATACTATTAAGACTTTTTTCTTATCTCATATTCCGAGTGTTATTAGGTATGGTTTTGGATTTGCTGAAAAAACTGCCATAAAATTACACGAAAATAAGACTTTTATTTTATTTTTTCTTTGATTTAGTAACTCTATATCCAAGTATTAAACATGATTATGGACTTAAAGATGTCGATTTTTTTATCAGTACGAAGAATGAATAAATCCCAGTTTTAGTAAAGTTTTATTTTAAGAGGATTAGATCTAGACTTAATAATTGTTTTTCTTTTTGCTTCTTTACTCATGAGGAAAACTTTTTCCAACAAGTCTGTTACAGCAATGGGTACAAATGTTACTAATACAAATATCACTATGGAATTTTTTGAAGTACCATTATTTAAAATATTACTTAATTATTTTGAAGAGAATCTTGTAGTTTACGTAAAAAGATATGGAAATGGTTTCTAGACAAGTGTTTTGTGGTATGACAAGATATCCAAGATCTTAATATATTTGTTGGGATTTCTTATTTGATAAATTTGTTTGTTTGTTAGTTTGTAGTTAAGCACAAAGCTACACAATGGGCTATCTGTGCTCTGCCCACCACGGGTATGGAAACCCGATTTATAGCGTTGTAAGTCCTCAGACATACCGCTGTGCCACTGGGGAGCTATTTGATAAATAAGAGATTGAGTTTAGCTTCGAAAAAAAAAGGAAATAACTTATCCTTTTTTGCAAACTCACATCAGTATGTAGATAATTTTTGTATTCATCCCAAACAAATAAAACTAAATGTTCCAATAAATCTTGCGAGCAGACTATAGGTATTTAATTTCCAAAGAAAAATTTAACCAAGGGAATTATAAAGAAGATAGAAAATTGAACAGTTTAAGTATTGTGGTGTTTAGCTGGAAGTTGAAGGCCCAACATATCATAAGTTTTAGTTATTTTAGTTAGGTTCGTGTAGCTTGGTCTTGCGAACAAATTATATGACAGACAAACTGTTTCTACAAAGAGCACCAACTGTGACTAACATTATATTTACAAACAGGTTTTTAGCTGCAAGCTGGTGAGATATGGAAAAACGAAAGTTAGGCCTAAACAATGCCAATAAGAGGTCGTTCACCAGACATTTCTATGAAAATTCACTTACACAGAACACAGTAAAGGTATACATATTTTTAGTAGTGACAGTTTGTTCGCACGTAAGTCCTGCGTTCGAGGGCGACGTCATCTCTTTTTCACAGAGTAATAACGATAGAATATTTCTCATTAAAGTAAATACTGATGGCATTACAGATCAATATGAATACACCTAATTGAGGCTTATCTAGTTTGATCCTATGCGTTTCCAAGTATCGTGTTACCATTTAGGGTTAATTATGACAAGTCATTATTTTAGAGTATTTTGGACGCCTCCTACATTAGTACAATGGGTGTTTATCTGTCTGTAAGTATCTATCTATCTATATGTATATATACATATATATTTCTATCGTTATAGTGAAAATTTAACCTAGATTTTAAAATTACAGTTTTTTAAACTATAAACATTATAATGTGTTCAAACAATTACAGTCTTCCGGTGGGACAGCCGTAAATTTACGCAACTTACAACGTTAAAATCAGAGGTCCGATTCCTCGAGGTGGACATGGTAGATAACCCAATATGGCCTTGCTCTTAAACAAAAAATAATAATAATAAATCACAATAGAATTATTTGTATACTTGTTCGTTTTGAGAAAAACAACAACACATGTCTGAAACTTCTTGACGACGAAGTGTAAATTATCACGTACGAATGAGTATAATTGTATGGAACGAGTATTGATTAACAACAAATACAAAAACAAAACATACAATTTATTTCTGTAGTAAGAAAATATATAAAGAAAACAAATATCACCTGTCATAGGTAAAAAAAAAGAGAGGATTTTCTCCAGAATAACTTAAAGTTTTATCTTTTGGGATATCGTGTAAAAATCGTGCCTAATGTCTCTAATGTTTTCATGAAGCGTTTACCTATCTTTACATGGCATAGATGACCGATGTAACTGTAAGAGACAGTGGGGCATGATTTTTTTACGCTATTCAAAATCATACCCAACTAGAATTTGTAAGCGTCATTCAATAGATCAGTCTTATCAGCCACGAGGCCTTGAAATGTATATATGTATGGGTACACACTTGACTTTCGTCACAGTAGTCCAGTAAAATGGCTACGATATTGTTCAGTAGAATGAAATATAATATGAAACTGCTGTTTGTATTATAAGGGTTCTACATTTCCGCAAGTTCTGATCAGAGATTTAAAATATTTGATTTAACCTTTTTTATCAACCCAAAATTGGTAAACACGTTTTCATAATATCACCACTCTTCCCACAAAATAACTTCTGACGACAATCAGGCTGTATAGATCAAAGCCGAAAATGAAGCGAATTCTGTGTAACAAACAGATTAGAAGTATTGATCAATTAATGAAGCGAATTATGTGTAACAAACTGATTAGAAGTATTGATCGATTAATGAAGTGAATTATGTGTAACAAACTGATTAGAAGTATTGATCAATTAATGAAGCGAATTATGTGTAACAAACTGATTAGAAGTACTGATCGATTAATGAAGCGAATTATGTGTAACAAACTGATTAGAAGTATTGATCGATTAATGAAGTGAATTATGTGTAACAAACTGATTAGAAGTATTGATCGATTAATGAAGCGAATTATGTGTAACAAACTGATTAGAAGTATTGATCGATTAATGAAGTGAATTATGTGTAACAAACTGATTAGAAGTATTGATCGATTAATGAAGTGAATTATGTGTAACAAACTGATTAGAAGTACTGATCGATTAATGAAGCGAATTCTGTGTAACATATTGACCAAAATTATTGATCAATTTAGGATAAAAATTTGACATAAATTACTTTATTTTAAAAACTTATGTAATTTCTTTTATTCATACACCACTCCACGCATGTTTATGTAACATCTCTACGAATCTAACGTACTGTATGGAATATATATATATATATATATACATATACACAAATATATATATATATTATTGCCTTCTGTACATCTAACACTATAAGAAAAACCACTGGCTGAAGAGTAGTTTTAAAGCTGCGAAAGCGCTACTAACCAATTACAAACCAGAATAAAATCAAACGCTAATTCAAACCTGGTGACGCTTTGAATATTTATGTATATGTAAATAAAAATAGTAAACACTAACGATTAAATATATATATTGAAAGACCACCATCTAACTAGGAAAGCCGAGAAAATTTCTGTTATCTTAAACACGTTTCGCATTTTACAAGGAGGAAAAACTTAAGAAATTTCTCTCACCTTGAAATTCTGTGAGACCAACTTTCCCGTTTGCTGACGCAGCTTGGACGAGGCTCCATACAATGACGAGGTTAAGGACAGTTCGTTCAATAACCAGTTCTCCAGTGAAATAAAGGTAAGATGTCTTACTTTGCATTGTTGGTGTTTTGTCTTTTTATATATGTATAACTAGGTTTAACGTTTTGAAGCACTAATCTTATTGAATGGTCTTGATACTTCTGTTTTCGTTCAAAGTGCCTGCAAGCCTAGCACGTGTTGAAAAGTCAGAGGAATTGTGCTAGTTTTGCGTGGCACTGTACCTGGGTGTTGATTCTCCCGTCTTCTTGCTATCACTACGGTCTCGATGCTACTGATGCATGACTCACGCGTCCTAGACAAGCGTTCACTTGGCGCCAGGTTCTCCTGTAGTCGTCTGCTAACAACTATAACGTGAGCTTGTATAATCTCAAAACCAGACTCTTCCAATAATATATCCCAAGGGAGCGTCTGTCTCTTTATTTATCAATACATCAGCGATAGTTGTTTGTAAGAGACAATCCACCTAGTCTGAAGTGATTTGTGGCAGATGGTATATGAGACGAACGCAATTTCTCCAATGGAGACTACTTTGAGACTATTTATAATACAGAGTACTTTGAGTCTATTTTCAATCAGAGCTTTTGAAAACATGTTAAACATTTTATTATATCATTCTACAGAGTCATATGTGGATTATATCATTATTCAGTGTTATATATGAATTAATTATAAATCGTTTTTGAGTATTGAGTTTCGTTTTATTTTCAAAATTGACCTCCTTCCTAATTCGTTCCTGAAGTAGAAAAACTTACTTTCCAAAGGCGCTCAGTTATCAGGGTTCTTGTTTTGTGACTTGCGATATTGTTTGTTTTTACTTGTAAACATAACCTCATAAGTTTATTTATTTGATTCAGAAATATTTTTAACCCCCAACTTACTGCCTGTTTTTGTTTGTTTGTTTGTTTGTTTTGAATTTCGCGCAAAGCTTCACGGGGACTATCTGCACTAGCCGTCCCTAATTTAGCAGTGTAAGACTAGAGGGAAGGCAGCTAGTCATCACCACCCACCGCCAACTCTTTGGCTACTCTTTTACCAACGAATAGTGGGATTAACCGTCACATTATAACATCCCCACGGCTGAAAGGGCGAGCATGTTTGGTGTGACGGGGATTCGAACCCGCGACCCGCAGATTGCGAGACGAGTGCCCTAACCACCTGGCCATGCCGGTCCTGACCTGTTTTTATACCGTTCACTATTGTTCGGGGCCACGAATTACATCATATTAAGTAATTTTATGGTTTTGCCTGTTGCAACAGTCGGTGTAAATATCTAACCGAAACAAATAGGAGATATCACACATTTTCCATATAAGATACAGAGTAGATGCCATCAATAATCAATGGAATTAATTTCAATAGTGACAGTATTTCTGTGACTCATATGTTATTAAAAATCCTGACCAACAAGCAATTTGGTGAATAAATAATTTACAACAATCAATCTATAAATCTGATGGGGTTTATATAGACCCTGTTGGTAATTCCAGGGTTACATTTATTACTAGGATATAATACAGAAATTAATAAACCCAAGTGGACAACAAGTGTAGTGCGCTTTTATATTACTAACAACACACAAACCAATAATATTTGATTTCACAAATTGTATGTATGTATGTATGTATGATTTGTTTATTTGAAGTTCAGCACAAAGTTACACAATGAGTTATCGAAACCCGGTATATAGCGTTGTAAGATTGCAGACATTCTGCTGTGCCACTGGGGGAGGGGGGGATGTATGTTTGAGCTAAAAATATCTTATCTAACTGAAGTTCAATTTTCTTGTTTCTTATAGTAACGGTATTTTATCAATAGTTGCATTTGTTCGTAACTTCTGACTATTGAGTATTGTAACTATTGACTATTTGATCGCATTATTTCGAGATGTAAAATATTAAGCTACAGCTGGAAATTGTCACGGAAATGTGTTTGAGAATATAGTGACCATTTATAGCTTCTGTGTAACTAAATTCTCTATATATAATGCACAGCAATGGGGATATATATGCATAGACTAAGACACAACTCCCACTAAGCGCGTATAAAATGTCTGTAGATTTACAACGCTAGAAACGGGGTTTCGATACTCATGGTGGGCAGAGAACAATAGCCTTAACTACAAACTTAGTTTATGCTTAACTACAAACACAAAAACACAAGACATCCTTTAAATAAATTTTTGTGTCTTTTAAGATAATCATTCTAGGAATGTGTGTAATAAAATTTAATATTACGTATATTGATTTTATTTTTTACTCCTTCACTTCGTACATAATATAGAGGTTATCTCCCTAAAGATACCGATTGTATAGTGTACAAATCATTGAGTATCTACATGTTATAGTCATCTAATGTTCGTCTATTACTGGAATTTATGTTTCACCTTGTACTTCAGTTTTTTAAAGGAACTTCAAATATTTATAATAAAGCTAACTTCAAAGGGTAATGATAACATCGTTTACACTAGAATTGTGATGTTTTTTAGCTTATGTAAAATATAGAAGAAATAAATCGACTTTTCAATACTCTTACGACATTCGCAGTACCTTATTTAGTATTCTACAAAAGGTTTGGTGCAATATAGCAAGACGTTTTTGTTGTAGGCTGTCAAGAGAATAATAATGTTACTATAATGGATGTAGCGTGTATATATTTATTTATCTGGTATGTGACAGAAATAATAAATACATTGTGGCGCCATCTATGGAGTAGCAATACAAACACAAATCCATGAAAATTTCTCACTTTGGGTATTCAAGATTTAAACAATTAGAAAAATTACTACGGTATGTGCAACAACAATTTTTTTTATCATAGAACACAATTTTAACTTAAAGTAATCTCACGACAAGAACACGACTTTCACTAAGACTGTACGTGAGGGTTTGCTTATATCTTTATTGATGTAATTTGTAAATACAATATTAGAAAACGGAGTTCTTAAAAAAACTATTCAATAAAGGGTAGCACTTTTAATGTATAAAAACATTACAGCTTATATCAGCACAATCCGAACACTTTTCCCTTGCAGTAATTCCCAGTAAAATCATTTTTTAGAAAATGTTCAATTTTTTCAAATTTTTTTTCAATGAGATACGAATACTAGAACAAACTGTAAGAAGAATTATAAACAGGTCATTTTAAGCGGATTTTCTTTTCCATATAAGCCTAATATGCATAATTGTTTGTGCATTTTTACATTTATATAACCTTAGCAGTCAATAGTAAAAGTTTTAAAGTGTTATTTGAACTCAATCTTTACTGTTTAAAGTGCTTTTTGCCCGAAAGTTCTATTAGGGTTTTATGTAATTCCTATTATAAACCACTATCGTGGTTCATGATACTGATTAAAATGGACAATAAGCATATTGATTTTTGTAGAAATGTTTGACACTCCAATCTCTTTGAAACCTCCAAACCTTTCTGAATAAAATTTAAGATCCTCAATACGCATACAGTGAAATTTAGTTTCTATATATAGTAAAACTATTTTTTTAAAGATATAATCGTCTTGAATATGTAGTTCTTTCCATAATTACTCTTAATAATTATTGTTTTAATTCCAATATAATGAAAATATGTTGTCTGTGCTTTTAAATTTTTTGGTTAAGTTGCTTTCCGAATAATTTTGCCCTCCAGTGACACAGCAGTAAGTCTGAAGGCTTATAACGCTAAAAAACGAGTTTCGATACTCGTGATGGGCACAGCACAGATAGCCTATCGTGTAACATTGTGCTTATCTACAACCAAACAGAAAAAATTTCATTTCGGAATATTTTTAATTATTTTATTTTTCCTGTTAACAAATCCAAACTTGCAAAATATGCTCCTTGAGAAGAGAGGGTTCGTTTCGTGTTTTTTATTATTTACCCGAAAAGCTACACAGTTGGCTGTATGCACTTTGTTCACCGCGGGGAAGAGAACTCCTGATTGTAAGTCCATAAACTTGCCGCTGTCCCACTGGGAGAAGAAGGGGTGTAATGATAGAGAAAAACTAAGCCTCACTACGTGCGTCCATTTCGATATAACTCAACAGTACGTAATCAATATAGGTTTTTACATATTTTTGCAAATAGATTAAAAATTCACTTTTGATCCTGTGTTTGAGAGTACATTCCTTCATGGAATAATTTAAGTGTGCATCACTTGATACTCAGAGAGTAATACTCTCTAACCCAAGTTTCTCAAGGTAAAACAAATTACAGTCGTCACAAAAAGTGTTTTGAACCTGAATTAGCGTAATGGTTAAGACATCTGGCTTTCACGTGTTTCAATATACCACTCTAGTACCCCTTGCTTCTATTTTAAATCTGTAAATATAACGATCAATTTTTATGAATAAATTATTTTACTTTGGTTTGTTTCCTCTGCTCGAAATATGACTTAAAATTTGAAAGCACGACAAGATCTAAAATCAAAGAATATTTAAATGTTACACAAATGTTCAATCTTAGTACAGTGGAGAATATAGAATCGAATTGCTTCCTATTTATTGAAATGGAGATTTTCAGAGAGCGCACTTTGCCCACTACTCATTAATTAACTGTATCTATATGTTTGGACACAATAGAAGTGTCACGCACTCATAAAACACAAGAACGTTCTTGATACAAAAATTGGAAAAATACATGTTAAAAGAAAGGGTAAACTAACATAAATAACTGGTATTGCACGATTTTAGCATACATTACGTGTTCAGTTTTATAAATAGCTATGTAACAGTTGATGATTAATAGCTTACTAACAATACGCAGTTTTACGGCGAAATTTAAAACTCTGTCTCTTGTAGTATTAATTCCCATTTCTATACCACAGATGCTTAGCTCTCTTTATGTCGCTAAATGTACTATGTACTATCATCATTAAGATACAATGAAAACATAAAAATATTTTCCTCTATTGTTTTTTTAAATAATTTTTCTAGGGATATACAGTGATTAAATACATTATATATAAACCGTTTTGGAGCCTCACAACGTCGTTACAGTCCATGTCGCTACATCCAGTCATGCACTATCTACAGACTGTTGATCTTAACAATAATAGCCTTGCAGCATAGTTCCATAACAAAGAGCTCAATTATAAGAATGTCATGTGCAAAGCACACCTTACCTTCCTACATGCTTTCTTCAATCCAATTAGTATACATAGACGACGGTTTCCAATGCCCATTTCAACATTCTGATAATACAGAAATACATAGGAGCGAGCTGTGGACAGCGATTGAGAGGTGTAGCTTCGTATGGAATAGCATTAATTATCATTTCATCCTCCAACTACTTGAAGTATGGGATAGTTGAATGGAAAACATAACTTGAATCCTTATCTTGGTGAACCT